CCCTCAGGACATCCCGCGTGTGCCAGGCACAAGCAAGCCCACGTGGGTACGTATCGCGGATCCAAATAACCCCTATACTGTTACGTCGGCCGCGCCAGCTGCAAGCACTGGCAGCCGCGGATGCCTGTGCCGAAGACGACTTGGTAGGTATAGGGGGCTGGGCAATCACTTATGGCCTTGCCTTGTCAAGCCTGGACAGCGGTACATTGCATGTTTCGAAACGCTGGCGCAGTTGGCACTGTTGCAAGCAGCCATATTGGTGGCGGGCGCTACTCGTTCAGCATGCCTTCAGGCACTGTAATTCGGCAACAGAAGCAAGCCTTAACACGTTGTTCACGACCTCCTGGCCGTTGCAACTCTTCGTGCAGCTAACAGCCTTCCGTGTTGCTGCAGCCAACACACGTTCCGGGAAGGAACAATGATTGGGCAGACGACCTAAGCAGAGGTCGGTTGGCCCGATTCAGCCATCGCCCTGAGAGTCGCGTACGCTTCAGCCCTGCAGGCCTTGCACTATCAGGCAGCGGCATCCAGCTGTGTCCGATTGATGCGCCCTGGCGCCCGGAACATCGGGCAGCTGCCGCCAGCAGCGTGTAGCCCAACATGCATTGCGACCCGACATCGCCCTGGCAGCCAGAATATCTGGCTGCATCAGTCAGCAGCTTCCTAAACCACCCTAACGAAGTCAACCATAAACCAGCCGTAAACCAGCCCAAAGCCAACCATAAACCACCCTTGACCAACCCTAAACCAAAACCAGCCCAAAACCAGCCCTAAACCAACCCCAAACTGACCCTAAACCACCCCTACACCAACCCTAACCCTAAACATGACCTAAACCAACCCAAACCAACCCCAAACCACCCTACGCCAACCTTAACCCAACCATAAACCAACCCTACACCAACCCAAAACCAACCCCAAACCAACCCTACACCAACCCAAAACCAACCCCAAACCAACCCAAAACCAACCCTAAATCAACCCTAAGCAAGTCCTAAACCTGGACCCAAACCAGCCTAAACCAACCCTAAACCAGCCCTAAACCAGCCTTAAACCAACCCTAAACACGCTGAGCCAACCTGAAATCAGCCTGAAGTCAACCATAAACGTCCTAAACCAGCCCTAAACCACCCTAACCAACCCTCCTAAACCAACCCTAAACCAGCCCTAAGTTAACCTCAAACCACCCTGAACCACTTCCCTTCCGGGCGGAGGGCCTATTTGTTAAAAGATAAGAGTGGCCCTAAGTGTCCAAAGCCGTTAAGCGCCACCCAAGCTGCAGACTTTCGCGGGCCATATCTATCTATCTATCTATCTATCCATCTATCTATCTTTCTATGTATATACAATGTATTTATGTAAGCATATATATATATACACATGTTTCAACTCTTTCTGACACAACCATAACCAGGGGAAACCGCGTGGTGAGAAACAGAACACGCCGCCAAAACTTTTGCTCTGATTCCGAATCGTTAAATCACTTTCTATAATCAAGGCAAGCCGCTTTGACCAAAAAAGGGCGGTCCCTGAGCAACGGATGCTCACGACCAAGAGAGTGCAATGTCATGCGACGCTTGCCCTGCCAGGTACAACCCCACTCTGAAGGGGGGGTGATGAGGCCGGCGGCCCAGCTGGCTCGCTTATACCGGGGTTGCCTGAAACACTGAAGGGGGGGTCAACGCACCTCCTGCTCCAGGCGCATCCGTGCCTGGAAGCAGTGCTACTTTCAGCAATCCCGGTTAAAAGAACTGCGGCCGCTTTGGACTTGCTTTGTTCTTTTGGGTGGTCTGGTAGCAGTGCAACATGCCTTAACGCTTAGGGTTTTCTTTTCCCTTGTGTTTAGGGCATGTTGTGAATCTACTTCCGCGGTGGCCGTTTTGCTCCTAGCCTTGACCCAAACTTGTTCTGTTTCATTTGAAACCCACCCACCCACCCTGCACTGCCTTGTACAAGGCTCTGCAAAGGGAAGTTGCAGACCCTCTGCACTTCCGTTCATGGTCTCCGGACCTCCCGGTCTCCGGACCGCTCACGGTCTCAGGACCACTGGGTCTCCGGAAAGACACGCATTGTCTTGCCTTTAAGTTTCACGGGGGCTGCTCCAGGCGCATCCGTGCCCTGGAAGCAGTGCTACTTTCAGCAATCCCGGTTAAAAGAACTGCGGCTGCTTCGGACTTGCTTTGTTCTTTTGGGTGGTCTGGTTTGGGTTCAAGATAGGAGCAGTACAACATGCCTTAACCGAGGTGAATGTTGCTGACGCCCCCAGTCGAGGAGATGAGTCTCAGTTACTTTTCTTGAAATCCCGGAAGTCCCACGTTACGCCAACCGTTTGGAACGATCTTTGGAGCGCGCTGCGGCTGTAAAATTCATTGCTTGGGTACCGTGTATTTTGCCATGCATGTCTTGTGCGCAATTGTTTGCCGCTCATGCCTTACTTCGTACTTGTATTGTTTGCCGTTCCTTTTTGCGTGTGCCGCCTCAGGTCACTACAGACGGTCGAGCGCTCAGTTTACAGGGGGTGCGTGCGAGTTCTCGATATGGGGCGCTTGCCTGCTTTGGCCTTCTTGAAAGACCCCCTTCTTTCCGGGTGTGAACCCTTTTCCTTTTGGGGGTCCCCTCTTTCTGTGAAGGACCTTTTCTTACCTTTGATGCTCTACCCCGCGTGCTGAAAAGGAGTGCTTGCGCTCAGGGTTCCTTTGTTTAATGTTTTTGTGAGACTCAAGCTGCTTAAGGGCACCAGGTATAAGGATTGCTAGTGCTTGCACTCGCTGCGTTATACTGGTGCCCTTAACTGTTGAGTTGCAGCTTGAGGCTCAAACCTTTCCTTTCCTTCCATACCCACCCGCCCAGGTTGGAAGAGTGAGTGGCTATGCCTGCCACACCACATGGCTTACCTTACAGATTCGGTTCGGGCAGGGGGCGCTTGCCTGCCCTCACCCCTTGTGGCCTTCTTGACGGACCCCCTTCTTTCCGGGTGTGAACCCTTTTCCTTTTGAGGGTCCCCTCTTTCTGTGAAGGACCTTTTCTTACCTTTGATGCTCTACCCCGTGTGCTGAAAAGGAGTGCTTGCGCTCAGGGTTCCTTTGTTTAATGTTTTTGTGAGACTCAAGCTGCTTAAGGGCATTTGCATGTGCTTCTCACTTTTCTTTTTCATTTCTTTCCTAGGCGCAGACGCGTGCTGGACAAGGAACGCTGCTTCGGGTCAAGAAGTGGAAGTTGCAGACGAACACCGAAGTTGAGAACGACAAGACGAACAGAGCCATTCCTTAAAGGGCAAAAAGGACAACGGGAAAAAAGGGGGGAGGGGGTGAAAGAGAGCAACAATGCACAGATCTGTTGAGGAAAATTGCACCAAAAACGCTTGCCTTGTCTTCTGTCAGGCAAATCACTAAACTTGATAAGTTGCAGGCGGGTTTTGTGGCCGGCGCGGACACCGAAGCAGCAGATGTGCAACTGCTTTCGAACAACAGTTTGAACTGCCAAGATTGTTGCACATTGACCCATGGCAGCTGCGCTGTGGTGCAATTGCAAACACGGAAGCTCAACACAACCTTTAAGTCCACCATTGGCCAGTCCAGAACACTGCTTTTGGAAGTTGGCAAATAAGGGCCGAATTACTGCGATCGCGGTTGTTGTTGCTTGGTTAGAAAGAACCCTCTTACATCTTGCACGTTTTCTTGGTGGTGGACCTAGGCGTGTACAAGGCTTAGAAGGGTTTCTGGACTGTTTGGGGTTTTTGCGTTGGCGGGAACTCGAGTTCCCCTGTTTTTTGTGTTTTTTTGTTGGGGTTTTGCCCGCGTGACTCAACACCTTTCTGTTTCTTTTGTTTTCTTGCTCCTTTTGTTTTGTGTTCGGATCTTGGCCGGTCTTCCCGAAAAAGTCTTTTTCGTTTTCAGATCTCTTCAATTGCATCTCCGTGATGAATCACCTGCGCTCCTGCGCCAACAAAAGCGCTTGTCCTGCGCCAACAAAAGCGCTTGCAGTTAAATCGTGCTCTCCAACTTGATACCTGCAATTGTGATGTTTGTGAATGTTATTTTCTCCCTGAACCGCCTTCTCATCAGTTGTACTCGAAAGATGAAATTTCTCCTTCGGAGTTGAAGTGTGTGTGTCATGTGTTTGTGCGAATGTCTCTCAGCGGGTGTGTTTGTGCGTGTGCCTCTGCGTGTGTACGTAGCAAGAAAACCACGCTTGCGCCCGCGGCAAATTGGGTGTCTTGCAGAAATCCTCCATTTTAGTGGTTTTCGCCACGGGGCTCGCAAACCGCATTTCTCTTGACACGCTGCAGTAACAAGACATTGCATTGTAATTTTCCCGAAATCACACCGCAAACCGTACCTTGCTTGCGCCACACAACGCCGCACAAGCTAGTGCGTGCTCGTTTCTCTGAATCGCAACTGCACTCAACACGGCAGACGCAGAAATGCGCTCGCAGCCCTTCTTTTCAAAGAGCGTTCTTGCATTTCACTTGTCAGCTTTAAACACTACAGCGTGTTTGCGAGCGAATTTACTCGGTTCTTGTTTTCGCTTTGCTTTGGATTGCAGGTGGGCATGCAACAGCTGTGCAATCAGACTTGCCGCAGCAAATGTATTTTCAACATGGTTATGATGCATGATGTTAAGCCCATGCAGCAAGCAATGAACATAAGCTTGGCAAAGCCGCAGCTTGCCTTCAGCCAGCGGTGTCAGTAGAACATTTGTCGCATGCTGTACCGATTGTTGCAAACATGTTCATTCAGGGCGGGAAGCTGACATAACGTTTTGCAATGCAATTGAACAAACGGAAGGCTCAGCTGTGAAGCAGCGCGCTGCTTGCCGGTTATTTTTCACGAGTTGTATCAAAAGGAGCTGGTTTCCAACGTTGCTGACGTGCTGCGACATTCTCAGATTATCAGCAAATGTTGCAATGCACAGCAAGCACATGGAGGTTGTGGAGGAAATGAGCTCTATCAGATCTATTTGTGCATTGTGTTCTGTAAACATGCTATACCGATTCAGCCATGCTTCGCCCAAAACTGGCCGCTGTGTTCGTTCGAAACTTACACATTTGCACAGTTTTCTTTTTTCACATGTGAGTACTTGAGTCGCTGTATTGGTGCTGCCACTGAGTTGCGCTGGGCTCGTATCGCTGCAGACGTGCAGCATGCGCGTTTGGATCCTCAGAAACTCGACTACGGTGTATTTCCCGCTTACATTGTTGGTTGTAGTTTTAGTTTTAGTTTTAGTTTTAGTTTTAGTAGTAGTAGTAGTAGTAGTAGTAGTAGTAGTAGTAGTAGTAGTAGTAGTAGCAGTAGTAGTAGTAGTTTTTTTTTTTTTTTTTTTTTTTTGTTGTTTGTTTGTTGTTGTTGTTGTTGTTGTTGTTGTTGTTGTTGTTGTTGTTGTTGTTGTTGTTGTTGTTGGTTGTGGTGGTCGTCGTCGTGTCCGTCGTCGTCGTCCGTTCGTCGTCGTCGTCGTCGTTGTTGTTGTTGTTGTTGTTGTTGTTGTTGTTGTTGTTGTTGTTGTTGTTGTTGTTGTTGTTGTTGTTGTTGTTGTTGTTGTTGTTGTTGTTGTTGTTGTTGTTGTTGTTGTTGTTGTTGTTGTTGTTGTTGTTGTTGTTGTTGTTGTTGTTGTTGTTGTTGTTGTTGTTGTTGTTGTTGTTGTTGTTGTCGTCGTCGTTGTTCTTGTCGTTGTCGTTGTCGTTGTCGTTGTCGTTGTTCGTTTGTTCTTCTTCTTTTTTTTTTGTTGTTGTTCTTCTTCTTGTGCTTCTTCTTGTTGTTGTGGTCGTCGTCGTTGTGGTTTACTTGGCATTTTTGTTTGAACAGTGGTGAGGCCGGGTGGAGCATTGTCGAGACCGACTTCAAAGGCAGCTGCTCTGCATTTCTGACAACCATGCAAATTGTTTGAACAGGCATGGCAACACCTTTGGACTTGCGAAGTGGGTTGTGGCAAAAAGATGCAGCCAGTGAACCAGGACTGCCACACGGTTGGCATGCTTTCCTATTGCTGTTTGTTTCTATTGCTGGATAACGCGAAACCATGATTTCGTGCGATGAGTGATATTCCCTAGACATGTTTCAATTTGGCAGATGCAGAGTCACATCATGCACTTGCGGTAAGGTTGCGGAATTCGCACACAAAGCAGGCCGGAGGCTCTCTTGATGCTTTGGGTTTCAGTATTCTTGCTTGTAGCTGTCCACATCCTGTGTTTTTGTGTTGCCATATTCTGTACGGATATATATATATATATATATATATGTATATATATATATAAATACATATACACGCATGCAAATTTGGTTGATCTGTGAAGCACAATATCTACTTCGGGGTGGATATGCATATATTTTGGGCCGCTGAGGCCGCTGTGTACTCCCAAGCAGCGGAAGCCAAAGTGAAAAGGCAACAGCATTGCTCACAGACGAGGACTCAGAGAGCCTTTTGTCATGTCGAGTCACCTTGCTGGCTGAATGCCTTCCGCATTTTACGGCTGTTGCCCATTGTGCAATGCCAACTTGCACGCTGGTTCTGGTCAGTTTGCGTTCGAACCATGCGCATTGAACGGGTCTCTTTCGATGTGGACAGGTGTTTAGACCAGCCGGCAAGTATGTTGACTGACATTCCTGATTTAGGATTCTCATTTTTTTTTGTTTGACAGACAAAGCGAACGCGCAAGTGAGTGAGCGACTTGTGATCCCCCAAAAATCACCACGGTCCCGGTGTTGTCATTCTTACCTCTGGGCCCTCGTGTTTGTTCTTTTTGGAATCACGCCTGGGGTCCTAGTGTTTCCTTCCCACCTGGGCGTGATTTCAACATCACAAACAACGGAGTCCCCAAGCGTGACTTCAAGAAGAAACACCAGGGCCCACAGGCGTGAGTTCAAAAGCAAACACCGGAGCCCCCAAGCAGGATTTCAAGAGAAGCGGGACCCCCAGGCGTGATTTCAAAAGCAAACACGAAGCGAGACCCCCAGGCAGGATTTGAAAAAGCAAACACCGGGACCCTCAGGCGTGAATGAGAAAAACAACACCAGGAATTGCCAGGCGTGATTTCAATCTTTGTGATGCAAACAACAACATCACCGGAGCCTTTCGATGTGTATCTTCTAAGGCTGAAGGTCTTATTGGCCTGGCGCACTTTGCGGGCCAGGCAGCTGCAGCAGTTTTCTTTTGGGACGCTTTGAAGTTTGTAAGTGACATTGAAGTCAATATCAACTCGGCTTGTTTCCAGACATGGCGGCAATTGGACACATGCTGCCGGATCTCGAAGCTGTAGTGCCACAGGTCATCCAGCCAAATGCTATCTGTGAGCCAAGCAGTAACGAGGTGGGCAGGGAAGTCTGTTTTACTCTACATCCTGGGCAAACACAATTGATGCCGAGAGTCTTGAATGGTGCATGGCTTGTGCTGATTGGTGTCCATGCGGGATTTGGCAATTCTTGCATTTGGCTCAAGCCTTTGTCAAGCAGCGTTTCCTTTTCATCACGTATTTTCCAGCTCCTTCTCTGCGCAAGGCCGAGAAAATGGGAAGTGACACCTGCATTGAGAAATCCTGTGTTTGTGAGGCATGACGACTGCCGGCGTTTGGGATCCCAAACAGATGGGAATTGTGGCAGCCTCAGCCTTTGTTGAAGACCTGGCACCCAAAATCTTCTCAGGAGCTGAAGAGAAAGTCTTCTTTCTCCCTTCTCGATCAGACCAGGAGGCCTATGCCAGCTGGAGTTGCTTGGTTAAATAGTTTTGGCCGTGTTTGGGTTGAGTTGGCACTATCACAACCATGATCCACGGCAACCGGATAGTCAAGGATGAGCATCCGGGTCAGAAGGAGAAGATGGAGAAACTTTGGAAGCTCATGGCCCTTTGTCTGCACCGACATATGCTTCATTGTCTGCTTATACCAATCTGTGTGCTGTACTGTAGTGCATGTAAGGAGACCTATGAGCCAAATGACCCGGAGTCCATTCAGAAGTCCTTTGCACGACATTTGGAGTATTCCCTGGCGTGCACTCGATTCAACTTTACAATGCAGGACTGTAGCGTCTAGACGGTTTGATTGTTGTTTGTTGGTTTGTTTGTTTGCATGCTTGCTTGTTTGTTTGCTTGTTTGTTTGCTTGTTTGGTTGGCTGCTTGGTTGCTTGGTTGCTTGGTTGCTTGGTTGCTTGGTTGCTTGGTTGCTTGGTTGCTTGGTTGCTTGGTTGCTTGGTTGCTTGGTTGCTTGGTTGCTTGCTTGCTTGCTTGCTTGCTTGCTTGCTTGCTTGCTTGCTTGCTTGCTTGGTTGGTTGGTTGGTTGGTTGGTTGGTTGGTTGGTTGGTTGGTTGGTTGGTTGGTTGGTTGGTTGTGTGGGTGTGCGTGTTTGTATGTATGCCAATGTGTTGCCAAAGCTTGCTGTTTTGCAGGATGCTTACCGTGCAGCTGGTTTGGTGCTCCGTGACCGACTTTTGGAGTCCTTGAACGACACCAACGCATACTACAGGCGCTTGATGTGTTGTTGGCAATCTTTAGCGAGCTTTAAATCTCGCAAGACTAACGCACGATATCTTTAATTGCAACGGCTTCCAGAACGGCTCCCAACCTGAGGGCGCTTGGATACTGCGAGCCTGCGTCAAATGAAGCCTCCATCGTTCTTGTCAGGGGCTTTGACCACAAGTTGTTTTTGGACGTTGATGTGTCAACCCTGGAGGAAGATGGATGTGAAGCGGGGCTATTATCTCTCTGCCGAGTATTTGATTGGCCGCCACATGCAGTAACTTGACAACCGCATAGTTGCTTTGAGCATTTCTGTTGCTTGAGAACAAAATCTGCATGGAGCATTCCGTTACTTCATTTCACTTTGAGTGTGCGGAGGAATGCCATTGCCAATTTGGACTTGGAGCAGCCCTTCAAGGTGCATCTCGACATGTCAGCAATTCTCAATCTGACTTTCCTTGCCAGGAAGCCTTCACTGGGCTCGGCATCCAGCTGGAGGAGATGCCATGTCTATCAAACTTTCAGGTGATGATGGTATAGAAGAGGCAATCACATTCCCGTCAGACCATGCCAGCGGGTCTGTTTTCAAAAGCAAGGAGTTAGGTTATTGTAAACGCTTCGCGTTGCCCGCCTCGGCCAGAATGCTTTTGGCTGGCTCTGAGGTACTGTGTTTTGGGGTGCCCTGAAGTGTTGAGTTTTCTTGAATGAGTGATTCGGCACCGAAATGCGCGGGGGCCTCAAGGGCTAGATAGGACAAGAGCCGCAGTCAGAGAGTCACAGAAGGGAGTGACTGGGGCCAAGCGAAGAATGGGTTTCTAGGGACCGGTGTTTAGAGGGGAGAGGGGATTTGCCTTTAGAGGGTTTGACTGGCTTCAGAGGGGACCGGTTTCGAAAAGGGATTTTGTCCGAGTTGGGCGGGGATTTGTGGGGTTCTTTGCGCGGATGACATGAATCAACTTCGAAGTTGGGGATGGGGTTTGGAGGATCCCAAGAAGAAGGGGGGTCTGACCGCTTCCCAGCCCTGGCGGCCAAGGCGAATTTGCCTTGTCAGACTGTTATAGGTCACCTCGGGATGCAACTTGTGTTTTGAGACAAGGATGCACGCGGCAGTGATGGGATTTGAAAGCAATCATGAGGCAGGAAACAGGTATGTAGCCTATCTCAGAGTGAGAGAGGCAGAGAGAGAGAGAGAGAGAGAAAGTGTTAGGAAGAGTTTCTGGTACATGTTCTGGTCCCGGGCTGGGCACAGCTGCATAGCTGCATAGCCACTTGCCAAAGGCGTTGCATGAACATTTCAGGCCAGGTCATTGTCGGTGACACCACTTGAGCACCTGAAGCTTCCCTTTCCAAGCAGCTGACAACAAGATCAGACTTGGAAGAGTTTCTGGCTGTTCTTGCAATGATGTCGCTTGCTTTGTTTTTTGATGGCCGCTGCTGTCGATCCGGGTCTAGGATCAACAGTTTCTTAGGAATCCTCTTTCCTTGCTCAGCGCAAACCATCCTCCCCCCCCGCCCCCCCAACCTTGGTTCATAGCGGCTTCGTGCTACAGCACGCTATGGCATGCACGATGCGGCACGCACTGAAGGAGCTCTACCACGAGGAAGCCGACCCTGCATTGGGCAACGGCGGCTTGGGCCGGCTTGCGGCCTGCTTCCTGGCCCGCGGCTTAGCCCCCCAACAGGAGATCTGGTTGCGCGGTGTGCTTTCAGGACTCGATGGCAACGCTGTCGCTACCTTGCTGGGGCTATGGCATCCGCTACCTGGCATGTGAGTTGCTAGTTTGTTTGTATTTCATCGTTTGCTTGATGCCGGCAAGAAGGACAACTCGGACTTATGCCATGAGCTTGTCTGGCAGGTTACTCGTATGGCATGTTTAAGCAAGAGATCCAGAATGGTCGGCAGGCCATCCCTCAATGTTGCTGCATGGCTTGGTGGGTGCAGAGCCTTGTGTGCCACAGAGAGCTTTCCGAGCCATTGGCTTGAACAAACCCTTTACACGTGCAGGTGGAATGCCCTGACTTTTGGATTGGTGATGGCTGCCCGTTCGAGATCCCCCGACCGGCCCACGCCTCAGTCAGTCACGTGCAGTTGGCAGAGTCCCGTGCATAGTTTTGCTGGTTTTTGAACTTGAACTTTCTTGTTTGCATATTGGAGCTGCATTTGCAGGATATCACTTACCCTGTTCGATTGTACGGCGAAGTTTTGGAGGGCCAGGATGCCTCGGGACATTGGTGCGTGCCGCTTGGAGACATATTGCTTGATTGCTTGTCGTGTTTGTCGTCTTGATTTCCGTGTCATTTTGCCGCAAGCGACGCCATTAGGAATTGGACAGGAGGTGAGATCGTTCAGGCCTTTGTGTTTTCATTAGTGGTTCATTCTTAGCTACCTTGCTGTGCAGGCCATGGCGTACGACAATCCAATTCCCGGCTTTGATACTTACAATACCAACAACCTCCGCCTGTGGCGTGCCCTTGCATCCAAGGAGCCATCAGACGTGACTTTAGCAAAAGAGTGACTTGTCAATTTGCTCCTTTTTGTATTTTGCTCCGCGAAGGAGTTTGATCTGGACAAATTCAGTGCTGCAGCCTTCGCGGACTCAGTTGAAGCCCGCCGAAAAGCGGAGGAGAGAATTGAGGGAAGCGGAGACTTGCTCCCAGACAGAGCCATGGATTGTAACACCGGCAGCTATTCTGAACGCATGCTGCACGAGACCTAATATGCGCCTTGTTTCAAGTGACATTCCGTGATGGATGCGACAGTGCAGAGATTGCCTAAACATGTAGATATAAGCTTGAGTTTTCATTGATTGGCTTGCACAATAGTTTTGCAATATTATTTTTGGTGGTCCAATGCTTTTGTGCCTTTAGCGTTGGCCGGTGATGCTTTAAAGTGCTTCAGTTGTTTAGCAGTGCCACCCCACAACAAGAATTTCCGCACTCCTAAAGTAGAGTTACGCGGGGTACATGTAGGTTTCAGTAGCCCTATAGTTTTGTGTGGCACTCATGCCTTTTTTGATCAAGAATGGAGAATTGATCGGTGGTTTGCTTGCTCACGCAGCAGAGCAACGGGGTGTTTCCTCGAGTATAAGTTGGATCCAGTCCAACTAGGTGCGGTTCTTGTTCATACACAGATTGAGAAACTTCCCAAACTGTCCCCTTTTCCTTTGCAATGCTCTATCCCAGAGACACCACTGGCCCTTTGGCACGGTGCGGCCTGGTAGGACCTGTCCGCTGTGCTCTACCCAAACGATGCCACCTATGAGGGCAAGGAGCTGCGGCTGCGACAGCAGTGACCCGGGGATTGGAAGCAGAGGCCACGTCCTCCAAGGCAGAACTCATGCTCAAACAGGCTCCCAATTTCCACAATTTCATGCTTTATTGCTTTATCATGATCTAGGTTTGGCCGTGAAAGGTCTTGGTTTTCGCAGGTACTTCTTCGTCAGCGCCTCCCTTCAGGCCAGCAAGCCACACTGAGCCTCGACATCACTGAATGCACGAGGATTTGCTGCGCGAGTTCATCAAGCGCCCGAACTACAAGTGGTCTGAGCTCCCTGAGAAGGCCATTCCGTCCCAGTTCCGACAGTTGAGCCACAGTCAACACCCGGATAGATAAAGGATAGTTAGGGACAGTCCCACGTTACAGTGGTTTGGGTACACCCATCAGTTTCAGATTTTGATCGTGACCCACTTGTAGCCTTGTCTTCCGACAAAAGCGAGCTCTTTTGGTGCGGACATTCTCAGCCGGGGGGGGGGGGATGGGCTGCGTTTTGCAGTGACGATCCTTGCGCCCAGATTGCCGTGCAGATGAATGACACGCACCCAACCATTGCGGTACCGTCCTTACTTTGACATTCTGTGC